ATGATAACTTCAATCGTTTTAAATGAACGATTCTTTTATCATTCGTTTAAAACGATAATTTCATCGTTTCAAATGATCCGAAATTTCAGATTAATCTGAAATTTTCAGTTCAATTTGGATTTTTTTGGTTCAGATTAGATTTATAATCTGAAAAAAATCTGAACTGAACCGAAAATTTTCGGATTGAAATTTTTGCAATCCAAAACCAAACTGAAGTTGATCCAAACCGAAAAATTTTGGATTAATCCGAACCGTTCAGAGCTTTAATCTTAATATACTTTTAATAATTTTATTAGATCTAAGAACAAAAAATCTAAGAGATGTATCTATTCAGATTCAATTTAAAACACAAAAATTATTACATGAAAAAGTTGAAAAATTGAAGACAAAAAAAGTACTTAATAATTTATCCTTCTCATTTAACTATTCCAATTCCATATTAATGTTAAAAAAATCTAAATATAAAAATTTAATTTTTGCTAAATTTTGAAAATCTCAGTCATAAGCAGATAATGAAGTATCAGAATATTTAAAGTTAAACGAAATTTATTGAGAGAAAAATCCTTTTACTTAGTAAGCGCATAAAGAAAATTATTTTTACCGTTTAAGTAAGCTAGTATGTAAATACTTATTTGTGCTTGCAATATCTACAGTTTTAAAAAGAATATTCTCAAATACTAAAAATATAATGGGATCAAAAAGAATTAGAATGAGTTCTGAATTATTTAAGAAAATTTATATTTTTAAAACGCAATTGTAATATGTTACCTTTAATTTATCTATTTACTCATATATAATTATATAGTTTTTACTTTTTTTGAAATTTATTATTTACTCTATTATTCCATAATAAATACTAAATTTTAAATAACAAATTATATGATTATATTTAAAATATATTTATTTTGATAGTATTATAAGATTACAAAATAATATAATAAATTCTTATTAAATTTTTTTACTCTTCAATATATAATAATAGAAAAAAAAAGAATATTTATAATAAATAAAAGCATAATAATGTGAAAAAAAATTCTCAAAGACAAAATTAGAATAAAGATAGCAAATATTTTTAATTCAAAATAATATAAATACAATCCTCATCTACAAAATTTGCAATCTGTAATACATCCAGATAAATCTAACAGACATCTAGATGAGTAATAGATGAATTTACAGATTTATAATAGACATTCAAATTTTTAAAATTAATTTCAGATTGGACTAATGGATGACAGATTCATCTAGACCCTAACACTATTCAATACAATATAATGAAAAATAATTGAAAAATATTAATTTAATAGAAAATAAATAGAAAGAAATAAATAAATTAATTATAATTTTGAAAGATTTTGCTGAAGTAATTGAATATTTAGGTGAAAGTAAATATATAACTATTATTTAATATATAGTGTATTAGTAATGATTAATCAAAAGATTTTATCAAATGATAATTCTAATATTAAAGTTAAAGATTTAAGCAATTAAATATAACCTTTCATGATAATATTAGATATAAAGATACATCAAATAATGAACCTATTTTTGGACAACCAAATGCAGAAAAATTAATATTAATATATGCATTAATATTAAAAAAGAGTTAAAGTAGTATTATACTAATTAATGAATTATTTTTAAGAAGTTTCACAGGAATAAGGGATATTGGTTATTTTATTAGATCTACAGTTTAAAGAACTGGGATTTGCATTTAATTTATTATACATTAAAATTCAAAAGTAATTAAAAGATATTTATCAAGATATAAAGAGTTTAATATATAAAAATCAAAATGATAAATTACAGCTAATTTTAATTTTATCAAATTTATTATTATAAAGATATTTTAAATTAATATTATTTATAATGATGAAATATTTAGTTATTTAGCTCTGCTTAAGATTTATTATAATACTATTTTTAATATAATAAAAGATTAATAAAGTAAGATTTTCAGTATTATCAAAATTATTAAAAAAGTATTTAATTATTTCTGTCATTTTTACTCTAAGTAAAAGGCTTTTTAGCAAAGCTAATAATATTATAATTATAAAAAAAAATACAAATGATATCATATATATTAGAAATTTAGTATTTTATAAAAAAAATTAATAATACAAAACCATACAAAAAGATTTAAAAAAGCAAAAAATCATTTTGTTCTATTTTTTTTTAGTATAATTAATTAATGAGTTAACCAAATTTAGTAAAGAAAAAATAACTTAGAAACCTTTAAATAAAATAATAAATAATTAAAAATAATAAAACATATTATGATATATTATTTTTTAATTTTAATAAAATTTTTATCTGCTTATTTATTTATTATATTATTTATCAAATAAATCTACAATCTGAATTATCTGCAAAATTAAATTTATTTGCATAGGTTTATTTAGATTTATACAGATTTTTTATAGATAAAAATCTGTATTTATGATAAAGATTATAAATTATCTGTTTGCAAATAAATGGATATTCAGATCATATATCTAAAATAATTAAAAATAATCTTTTTTTTTATATTTAATTTTAATATTTAAAAAATTTTTTATATTTATAAATCTTTTATTTTTTAAATTATATTCTAATAATTTATAAATTAAAAATTTATATTTTATTAATAATTTATTCTTTTATTTTTTATACAATCATCTTTCTTTATAGTCATACCTTTTAAGACTAAAAACAAAATTTATAATTATAATAAAAAGTTACTATACAGGTAGATTTTTATATGTGTTAGTAAATATTAGTTTTAAAATAGTGTGATTATAAAAATACTATGATTATAAAGAGATTTTTTTATATAATATTAATAGGTATTAGTTCTTATAAAATATACTTATAATAAGAGATTTATATAATGTAATTGTACAGGGGTAACTATAGAGAAAGACAACTGTATATATTTAATTATATTTAATAATTTATCTATTTACAAAAAATTTTATTTTTTATAAAAGATTATATTAATACTAAATACTTTAAAAATTAATTTTAATTTAAATATAACTTAAAATATTAAAATTTTTAAATAAACTGATTTTTATCTTAAGTTTAAATTATAATTTTTAATAAATAATTAATTTACTTTAAATTATAAAATTAAAGTTATTTAATTTATAATTTATAATTTTTTAAAAATATTATTAATATAATTTTTAAAATAAACCTTTTTAATTATATGAAAGGTTACTATAAAACTGAGTTACAAATATAGTAAATCTTATAATTTTTAATAAGATTTTAATAGCAAATCTTTTATATTTTAATTATGCTTTATATCAAATCTATAATAAATATTTTTTTAATATATCTAAAATATTAATTATTTATTTATATATTCTATTTTAATTATAATTTAAAATAATTATTAAAAATGATACTATAATTAATTATAATCTTAAAATACTTATTTATTACTAATTACAATTAATTATAACTCAATTTTTAATAATGTTACAACTAATTATAACTATATAATACTTATATATTATTAATTATAATTAATTATAATGTCAACTTTAATAATTATATTACTTATTTTATTTTACTTTTTATAGTTTATTAATGAATTTCTATTTAATTTAATTTACTAATATTATTAAAAAAAATTATTATGATTTTTAATAATAATTATAGATAACTTTACAAATTCCTTTATTATTACTTCTAAGATCTTTTTGTTTTTATAAATTTATTTTTAAAATATTCCTATAATTATAATTTAAAAACTAAAAATATTAAATTATAATAAAGAAAATTATTTAAAATTTCTAATATTAAAAAATATATAATTTAATATTTAGTATTTTTTCTTAAATAATTTTACTATTTCTGTAAATAAAATATAATACTATAATATTATTAAACTTATTCATTACTAATTATAATTAGTTGCAACTTAATTTTAATAATATAATAATTAAGTGTAAAATTGTAATGCTTATTTATTATTTGTTATAATTAATTAAGGTATTATTTTTAATTTAGATTTAATCAATAAATTTAGATTATTTTATTTATTAAATTTTATATGTTTATAGTCATAATTAATTTTTTTAACATCATGATAATTAGCTATTAAATACTTTTATTTATATTCAGTTAAATTAATATTTTAATAGTTACTGATATTAAATTTAATAAATAATTGGTTAATCTAAAATAAATAAAGATTATATAGAAATAATATACTTGTTAAAAAATTTTTTAAAATCTGATTTTTTAATAATTATTTATATGATAGATATAAATTATAATAAAAAATATTTTGTTTCTTGTATAATTAAAATAAATTTATCATTTTACATTAGAATAAACAATTAAATGGTACAATTATATTATTTTACAAAAACAAACTTTTATTTTCTTATTTTACATTTAATTAATATATTATAAAATTAGTTTTTTTCATCTGCTATAAAATTTTAATTTATAGTAAATTGGAAAAAATAATGTCATATAAAAAGGAAATTTTCAGGAAAAATTACAGACAATGTAGAAGAAAATATCAGAAAAAACATTAAATACATTTTTTTTTTTTTATTAACCATCACATACTATATTACATTTAAACTTAATTAGACAGACAAAGTTAAATTTTTTCCACAGTAATGGTTGCTAAAGCAGCTAAACACTAATAAATTCGAATATCGAACAATATTCAAATATACAATTTCATCTTATTTATAAACGAACTGTTCGATACAGCAACGCTGAAAATGTTTTTTTGCGTGAATTATATGAGTTACCTCTTGATTGTAAAGGTCATTTAGTAAATATTATTTATATAATTAACGTTAAGAAATAAGACATAGTAACACTGCGCCTTCCTTCTGTATATACATATTTTCATTTAAACAATTTCGAAATCAAAAGCAAAAAACAAAAATTCATCTTAGCATTCATAATTATTAGCATCGGCACGCGTGTTTATTTTACAATTTTGTGAAAATAAAAAATATATATATATGTGTCACGGAAGTTACAAATTACTTTTCATTAAGGCTATGTTTAACCACCTCAAATGTTTTCAAAAATTTTTTTCTAGCTCCAATTGTATTTACTCCTAACTTTTGTAATTTTTCATCATCAAAATGAATTATTTCTTGCCATTTCATTCCATTGAAACAACTGGTATATTTTTGTAGCCTGAGGCCTAACAACCATTGAGGAAAATCTAAAAAATTATAAAAATTTTACCTTTTTTTTTTCAATTTAAGGAAAACAACTTTAACTGTTACATTACTAACCTTCTAATAAACTTTTACTAGCGTTAACATAATTCTCCTCAAAATTTATTCTGTAACGTCGACTTTTTCCTTCTTTATACCTTATATCTGCATCTTTGCCATCAGGTCCCAAAGGTTGTTTTGGTCTTATCGCTGGGTTACCTTTACCTATATTATCGTAGGGTTTGTGAAATTTATCATCTTTATAGTAAGTTTTAAATTTTGTTGCATACTGTTGTGTAGAAATAAAGAAGTATGGTAGAAGTTTTTGTGGAAACTTAGGTGACAACTTTGCGGTGCAAGATGGTAAGGAGGAATTTTTAGAAAGAAAATGTAATGAGTCAAGAGAACGATAGATTGATGACAAAATTGTTTTAGACATCTTTACCAATTTGATATATAAAAGACAATGTTCCCGGAAAAAAAAAATTTCAAACAACTAAATGATTTACTCACGTGATTAGAACCATTATTGATGATCTTACGCCACATTACGTAACATTTTTTATTTTATGATGATACAATCTTTCCATTGATATAAAAATGTCTCTCATTTGTAGAACACTTGCATTAAAATCTCTCTCAAATAAATCGATAACATCATTCCTTCGCTTAACCGCTCCGACAACTCTTACTACTAATTCTCACCAATTTTCAATTAGACACTATGTTATAGAAAGTACGGATCGTGTAACTTCTACTAAAGAAAATTCGCGTCATGTAACCAATAATGCCTTTACTAAAGAACATGTGACTAATGACTTTCCTACTATTCCTAAGGGGAAAGTTGCATTTTGTTTAGCAGAAATAGATAAATCGGAGCTAAAAGTGTCAAGACCTACAAAATGGAGAAAAGTACGCAAAAGAATTTATGTAGAGAATAGAAAAAGGTCATTTATTAAGAAGAATATAGTTGATCAGGTTAACATTGAAGCATTGGAAGGTATGCTTAATTGATTATGTTTTATTTTGAAATTTAAATTATTATTTACCCTATTGCATTGGAACATTAAGATTTCAATGAATGGCTTAGAAAGCTTCGATTTAAAAAATGGGCTTGGGTATTTGAAGGAATGAAATGGCAGGATATTATTCAATTAAATGATACGCAATTAATGGAAAAGGGTCTTACTACTTTTATCGTTAGAACTGAATTACTTTACTATTTTAATGTTATTAAAACTGCCCAGGTAATTTATTTTTTATTACCTTATTTTTGATTTTCGATTTGTAGATTTAATTGTATCAATTGACGATTATAGGCTAATGAAAGATCCAATATTAAGACTGATTCATCACAATCATGATCCTAACTGTCTATGACGATTTGAAGTCTTCAAATCGGAGCTATAAACGTTAGGTTAAATAAATATAGTTAAGAATTAGATCGAATATTGAAACTTTCTTCTAACAGTTTTTTTTTATATTTTTTAAGCCCTTGAAAGTCATCTTTACGAATTTCTAATTTATTATCCTTTTTAATTATTATTGTATTAATTATTATTATATAATGCTAAAAATTTAAAATAAATTCCTTTCAAGTTTAGAAAAGAAGATAGATTTATTTTATTTTCATTCCGGATAGATAACTTCTTTGTAAGTTATTTATTTGAAGTTCGTACATTTGTGTTATCAATTCTAATATCTCCTTTTTTTAATTTAATTTAATATTTAAGATTAAAAATTATACTTTTAATAAAAATTAAATAGTGAAAATGATAATAAAATCTTAATATAATATAAAAAAAAAAAAAAGCTAAAAAATAAAAAAGTATTATAAAAATAAAACTTTTAATATTTTAGTATTTTAATATAGAAAGCAAGTTAAAAGATTATAAATATATTAAGAAAATATGAAAAGTATTTAATTATAAGAATTTGAGTAATATTAACATGTAATTTTTATGAATCACAATAGTTAAACAGAACGTTTTGAATGGAAATATTTTTTAAATTTAATAACATAATTATAGAAGTTCAATTGATAATAGTATTAATAAAACTTCAAAATAATTAAGTTTAATAAAAAATAAATTATAATAAAATAAAATTAAAAATAAAAAATAAAAAAAATCAAAAAAATTAAAAAAAAAGAAATTTAAAAAAAATTAAAATTTTTTATTATATAAATTAATTACTTTTAAATTATTAAAAAAAAAAAAAAACTATTAAAAAAATTAAGATGAAATTTCTTTAAAAAAAAAAAATTGTTATTATAAATTAATTACTTTAAATTATTAAAAATAAACTATTAAAAAAAATTAAAATAAAATTTCTTTGAAAATCAAAAGAATTTTTTAGACTAATTACCTTAAATTACTAATAAAAAAAGATTAATAAATTATATAGATTATATCATATTAAATAAGTAATATTTTAAAATTATAATTTTATATAATTTTATATTTAATTTATTATTTATATTAATTCTATTTTAGTTTGATTTAATTTAATTTTTATAAAATTATCTTAATTAATTACAAAAGTAATTAAAATTAATCAGAAAAGGTTATTTATCTATTTTATTTTAATATTTTAATTAATAATATCATTAAAGGAATCATATTCTCTTTATTGTTTAATAAAACTCATAATTTTATCAATAACAACTCATTAACAATTGGTCTTCTTCTTCTTCACTTATCATCACATATTTTCTTAAATAAAAAACTTTTAGCTTGAACAATATATAATAATTAAATATTTTAAAAACCTCAATAATATATTACTAACTAATTGAAAAGTATACTTTATTAATACTGACTTCTTTTCATCTAACTTCTGCTCTTTTATAGTTCAAATTACTTTATTTCTTCTTATAGGTATGATATGAACTGGTCAAATTTTTAGATCCATAGCAACTAAACTCCTATATTAAATAATTAAACTTATTCTAAATTAATTTGAATAGTTAATTTAGAATGTGATAAGATTAATTTTGATTTAGTTTAATTAACTAGGTAGAAATTTTTATACTCTCTCTTTTGTAATTATAAATTTATAAAATTTTACTTTACTTTTAATAAAGACTATGCAAAGTTATCACATATTAAAAAAATTTTTAATTAATAATATGAATTAATCAAATAGTAAAAATATACTTTTTTATTTGAATATTTGAATTATTAAAATTTTTATTTTTAATAATTTATTTTATTTAATTTAAATTTTAATAATTACTTAATTTTTTGATAATTAAATTAAGATAGATTAAAAATTATGTTAATATTTAATCTTTATAAATTGTAATAGTTAAACAGAATATTTAAAGATTAACTTTTTAAAGTTTATATATTAAATTAAATAATTAAATTTATATTATAAAATATTATTAAAATTTATATGATTTATTATAGACTTTAACTATTTTTTAATAAGATTATATAGAATTATAAGTTAATATAAGGCAGTTTATTAAAATAAAAATATTTAAATAAAAAATAAAAATAATAATTAAAAAAATAAAAATAAAAAAAAAAAATAAAAGGTAAGAGTAGTAATATATATTAGCTAATATAATTATAATTTAAGTATTTATCCCTCTATTTTTAGTTAAAATGATTATATGATATATTTTATAATTACATATATTCATCATTTGCCTTTATAAAATTAAAAGTTAATTAAATGATAAAAAAAAATATTATAAAATATTTCAATTTGTAAATTTTTTTATTTCAAATAAAATTTATATAAAATTCAAAGTATTTGTTTTTTAAATATATAAAAAAGCTTATGAAGTTTTGATTAGATGGTTATATACATTTATATTTCATATACTATAAGATGCTATAGGGAAATTTATTTTACTTGTAACTTCTTAAAAATTGATTTGTTGTAGAGCTTTACATATTGTATTTGACTTTTATTTTACATCTACAAAAAGCTTTTTATAATAAAAAACATATTAGTATTTTATTTCAAATATTAAATATGAGTTGACAAACCTTTTTATTCAATCCTAAATTTAATAAAAAAACTAATATATAATTTACCAACAAATAAATATCAGGAATTTTTCAATGCTTATGTATATAATATTATAGTGAAAATAAAAAATGATATCTCAAATTATGCTATTATTTACTGTAAAGCATTATAAGAATGAAATAAAATTAAAAGTAAAAGCGTAGCAAAAATTCAATGATATAATCAAAAAATACTTGACTATATAATTTAATTTAAAAGACATTTAAACAATAAGACTAAAATATCCTCCTATGCCTAGAGAAGAACTAACTCCTTCTTCTCTTACTATCTATTTAGTAAAACTTATATCAAAAATCTCTAATAATGTAACAACTTAAAAAATGCAGTAAGTGAAATAACAAAGGCTGAAAAAAAGCTTAATAAATATAAGCAAATTTATAATATCACAACTGATTCTTAACCTTGCTATAATATGTATGCAAAATAGTAGATCTTTGAGCTCAAATTAAGCCAAATCAGGATAGGATTTTTAAGTTAAAAAGAAATACAAAATATGTTCAAAATTGTAAAAAAAAAAAAAAAAAAAAAAAAAAAAAAAAAAAAAAAAAAAAAAAAAAAAAAAAAAAAAAAAATAAAAAAAAAAAAAAAAAAAAAAAAAAAAAAAAAAAAAAAAAAAAAAAAAAAAAAAAAAAAAAAAAAAAAAAAAAAAACAGAAAATACTTGCTAAAAATCAGAAGATTATACAATATAATAGACTTGATCATCAATCTCTTCTTTTTAAATATCTAGAATTATATAATAATATTCAAAAATAGTGAAAGTTTGGGTCATCGAAAATTTGTGTAAAAATCTTAAAAAGAAATATAATATCTATATAATGTGAATAACATTAAATAATTATCTGTTATTATACCAATCTAATTAATTTACTATAAGAGCTTATCATTATCTAGCATGGATTACAGTAGTTAGAGTTTTACAAATAAAAATATGCAATTATTCTGATAGTTATTATTATCTTACATCTATTAAATGTGTAAAGCAATTTGTATTTATATTTGCTGATATATCAGTTATTATTTCCCAAGATAACAAAGTAAAAATAGATCTTAAAATACCTGCTATAGATCAGATCTTTCAAATATTATAATCAATTTATGAACCTATTTGTATAGCTAATCATGATTTTCTTTCAGAATATAAATAAAATTAGTTCTATCAGTTTATCTTACAATCAAATTAAATGATTCAAATGATGAATTACAAATAGGGTTAACTTGTTATTTTTGTAAGACATTAATAGTTTTTGATATATTCTTCTTCACACATATATAAGACTTCAAAAATCTCTCTTTAAATATTCAATATGATAATATAAGTAAATAAAGAACTAAATGAAAATCTAAGACATCTAAAAAATATTAAAGTATATTATCATCTTTTTCAAAATTTAACTTAGATTATCTGACTATAAGGACATATACTTTAAGACAATTCAAATATAATCTAATTGAAAGAGGTATAATAACATTATTCAACAAATTAGTAGATATTATACTACTAATTAATCACTTTAAAATACATTTAAATACACAAGTAAAGTTGCTGATCTAAACTTATTTTAAATTTGACATAATATTTAAATTATAGTTTTGCTAATTTTTTATTAAGATTTTATATAATTTCACATTTTTATAAACTTGATATAGTTTTATTTTTTTTCAAAATTTTGCAGATTTTTTAATAAAATTTTAATATAATTTCACTGAATTTTACCTTTTTCATTTAGACAACTTGCAAAACCTTTAGGTTTCATTTAGCAACCTTATATATAAGGTAAAGTGATATATTTAGAATTAGCTCTTTAAAATTTTGATATAGTAGAGAAGCTCTTTATGATATTTAGTATTGTAATTTGATTTTTAGAAAAAGCATCAATGCTTAATATGTCAAAGAATTTATCAATCTATTTGAAATCTACAATTTGAGAATATAAAAAAGAAAAAGCAGAAGAATAAAAATGATAAAAAACAAAAAAAGAAATAACAAAATAAAAAAGAAAATGATTAAACTGATTTTTTTTGTATTATGATTATAGATTAAAAATTATTGTAATCTATGCTAATACTTTCTTAGTATTAAATGATATATTAATACAAGCTGTTATAGTCCATACTGTGCAAAAGAAGTTATAGAATTCCTTTAATTAAATAATGGCTTCTTATCTTCTATTACCAAAGTCAAAGATAGATACTTTATCAACTTAATACATCTCTTCAAATATTATGATCTTTTGAAAATTCTTGATTACAATTTTTATTATTTATCTCTTAATCAAATAATATATTTACATTTTTGTTATTCTGAATGTAATAAATATTTTTTAATACTTACTTTTTTAATAAATCACAAACAAATAATACATTCTATTAGCTATAGTCGATCTAAAAAGAAAAGATAAAAGTCAAAACTTCACAACTCTTGATGATTTCTTTCTTTTCCCATTATTTTTTTGAAGAAATGCGTTTGAGAGAATACATATCAAATTAAAATTGTTAATATTAATTTATTTATAATTGTATACAGTATAAATATTATATAATACTAGAAAATAGAAACTTTTGTGCATTTGAAGCGTTAATTTATATCGTTTAAATATATAATAGAATAAAGTTCAATAAATAAATTTACATAGCATCACATAAATAAAAATTGAGTAAAAGGCATATGTTTATGTTATATTTGATTTTAAATTTTGATTGGTTAATTTTGTGACAGACAAACAAATATTGCATAGTTTTGACTGTAATAAAAGTATTTTTTACTATATTTTGAACAATAAATAAAATAATACTAAACCATTATTATCATGTGATTTATAAGTAATATGTAACCTAAGATCTCCTGTTACTTCAACTACTAAAATATTAGCTAATATATATCACTGCTCTTAGTAAAAGATTATAATAATATTTTACTAAAATTAGTTTATTATATGAAAATCTATCTAATCTACTAAAATCGGCAAATCCAATCTAATCTAATCTAATTGAAATTGTAAATACATCTAATACAACAAAATAACTTTTTTACTTATTTGTTAAGTTTCTTTCAGTTTATGAAAGTTATTTCTAATGTAACAGAATATAGAACTCAAAGTTTTCAATTTTTTCATTATTATCTTCATTAAACTTACTTAAAGATTTTCTTTACTTGAAATGATTATTTGTGTATCATTAACTAAAAGGTCAAAACTGTCTCCTAAATTTTTAGCTAAATCAAAGTTATTAATACTATTACAATCATTCTCAATTTAAAGAAATGGTATTTTATAAAAAGATATAATTATTAGAGTTTTAAAAGAAAATAATACTAATGTGTTAAAAAGATAAAAATATTGCTAATGCAATGAAAGAATTAAAGTATTACTAACATGATCAATACTATAATACAAATACTGTAATTTAACAAAAAATAAATATAAATTATATGATAATATGATATAGTATTAGATACTGCAGTGTGATTTATAATTTTTATTAAGTTATACTAATAAAACTAGGTTATATCTCAGTGTTGGGTTTTGGATACATTTTTTAATTTTAAATATTTAGATAAAGTTTTGGACATAAGAAAATATCTCTATAACCTATCTAAAATTATCCAAAATTATTCAATTTCTTAATACTGTTATATTTTTACTTTAAGTTATAAATTAAGTTTGAAGATTATATAAATTAGATTATAGTATTATATTTAAATTATATCTTTATATTTAGATTATATTGCTATATTTTTATAATTTAATCTAAGCTAATTTAAATAATATAAGTTAATTAAGTTATATTACCTGAATCAGCTTAAAGTAAGTTGAAAAATACTTTATTTAATAATAAAGTATATTTTATAATTTTCTTTATATATATTTATACAAATTTAATGCTTTAATAATTTTCTGTTATTAATAGTATTTAATATATAAAAATATAAAATTTTTATATATTTTATATTAATTTTAAAACCAATATTGATATATTATATTTTAAGATAAATATTACTTTTTATTTTAATGTAATATTAATTATTTAATTGTAATAATTCATTAGGATTATTATAAAATTATATAAAAAAAAATATTAATAGAAAAGTGGAAACATTTTTCAGTAAAATCAATATATGATCCGTAATTTTTTTTTTTTTATAATAATAAAATTTATATAAGTTATTTTTATCTTGAATAAATCTATAATAATAACTTTACGATTTGATCACTATCACGAAATCTCAAAAATCAAATTTATTTTCTTAATTTATAAACATTTATATACATAAATTTAAAAAAAAACTTTAATTTTTTTTTTTTTGAGGGTTTTTTTTTAAAGAAAATATCACAAAAAAAGTTTTTATACTCGATGGGCACAGTAATGATGATTTTGAAGATGTAATTTATATATTGGATATAATTATTGTAAGTTCGGGATAATGTGACTTTCGGGATAATAGTTTCGAATTCGGGATCCTTAACTAGACATAATAATGATCTATAATAGATATATTCAAAGGCCGGTAAAGGATTTCAGTTGTTAGCCTCGACTTTCCTTAATTCTGACCAAAATTATAATTTAATCAGATACTAATACCGGATAACTTGAAATGTTTTTTTTTTATAAATTGAAAAATGATTTTTTAACCAATATTCTTTATCACAGAGAGAAGAGGGAGATTTCTATTTGTAACTTATTTAAATTTTCAAATTTTTAATTTTAATGCTTATGATTTTAATTTAGGGTTTCCGTTCGAAATTCAAATAGGGGATTCCAAAACTATATCCGAAAATTCGAATATTTGATTTAATCTTTGCGATATTTATTTATTATACTACTATTGATTACATTTGAAAAAAAAAGTAAATTTGTATATCGAAACATAAGTCAAAAAGATAATAAAAAAAAAAATAAAACATCATTAAATTAGGGAATATTCAATATTCCATTTTTTTTATTAATATATGTTAATTATATTATAAATAATTATTTTTTATAAAAGAAACAATTTCCAAAATTACTAGTGGTAATAATACAACCTAATATATATTTATACTAAATTAATAAAGACATATTATATAATACAACTATAGGAAAAAAAAAAAAGTCTACTAAAGGAACTTACATAAAATTAATGTTTAAACTTTATTATCAATGTTAAGATTATTATTATTATTAACTGTTGAATTTATCGATTCAACATTAATGACTGGTTGTTTATCATTAGATTCGGGTCGTTTTTCATTCTTTTTCTTGTCGGTTTTCTCCTTTTTTCTAATTTGTCGAACGATATCTAAATCATCAGGATACCACCATTGCTTAAGGAACAATACAAAATATCTCGGTAATCCGGCCACAAATATAGCAAATAGCATGCCAAACCAAAATACTACATCGCTAAACAATTGTTGTCCTATGCCAAGTATTGGACTTTCTTCAAATATGCCATATGCAATTACAAATGCAAATACGGCAATTATTTCTCCAAATACAAATACCCACATAAACCATGTCCAATAATATGTGTTAAATCCAATAAATAAATTTGCGATTACAACTACTGTAACCGCTACTGCTGTACTAAATTCTATTGTTCCTGCTGGAGTTCCGTCAGCTGATGTGATATTTGTTGATAAGGAGTAAATATAATTAAATGTGAAATATACCACCAATGATTGCCATATACCATCGAGGAAATATAATCCAAATAATACTTTTGAATATCTTGCTTGTTTTATTCCCAGGGTATAAATACTTGGATATCGTAGACAATATCGTTGCCCAACTGATTGATCTGTTGCTCCTAATATAATAACCGGTGCCACAGTAAATAACATATTATATAACTGTACAAAACTATAATCATAAAATATATTGGCCGAAAATCTAAAGAAAAAAAAAAATTTCAAAAATCAAAAATCAATATATTCAAAGCAAGTCAAAATTTTGTTAAAATACTTACAAACAGTATATTTGATACCATAACACCGGAAATACCCAAATCACATTTTTATAAAAGAAGTTTAGTATCATCTCTGAAATTCTCAGATAATCCCAATGTCCATGAACTAGCAAAAGTGTCCTAAGAAACCGGAATTGTGCAATGGAATAATCAGCTGCCATCGCTGCCTGGACACCTGTTTATGAAATCAGAATTACCTTTAAAAAATATTCTCACGCAAATATTTAAATAAATCTTTTTGGAATTACCTTCTTGTCCAGATATGCCGACACCGACATTCGCGGCTTGAATCATGCTGACATCATTAGCTCCATCGCCAATTGCTAATGTTGTTGACCTTTTCCCTCTTCTAATCAACTCAACTACCATAGCTTTTTGAAGAGGACTCACGCGACAACATATAACGGAATGGAAAACATTTGATAATTGAATTAATTGTTGTCGAACCGTATCATTATCTAACAAATGTGCTAATGCTGCGCCATCGACCACAAATGCGTGAACTTCTCCTTCTGTTATGGGTGGAATTTCCTCTCTATCTTCCGTGAATCTTTTAACGCTTTGATCACCTATGAGTGAACCAGCTACATTATTGAACTGATTCATGACACTTTCTTTATTGGAACCTCTCACAATCCAGAGTCTCATCTCTTTTGTTAATAATTGCGCAGCAAATCCAATATTAATTGCTGTTTCCAACTTATCACCAGTCAATACCCAAACTTTAATACCGGCCTCACGAAGAGATGCAATACATTCTGGAGCACCTTCTTGAAGTTTATCTTCGATAGCGGTTGCACCCAAAAGAATAAGTTCATTTTCAATAAGTTCAGAAACAGCATCAATTTTTTCGGAACGATCTGTCAATGAGGATGCGGCTTCGTTATATTTCCTTGACCATGAGTTGTATTGCGCTTCATTTAAGTCTCGATATGATAATGTTAATGTTCGAAGTCCTTAAAATTTAAATATAAAATATGAATTTACATTCGGGGGCTATTTTATTTCTAAAAATAAATTCATACCATCATTTGAAAAATCTTCAATATCCTGATTTGTAACCTCAACAAATTCTTCTTGACCTTTAGCCAATCTTTCCATAATGACATTGTCAGCTCCTTTACAAAATAATACAATACCACCGCCCAATTCATCCGGACGACGAACAATCACGCTCATCCTCTTACGCGTTGAATTGAATTCTAATGTGTTTAAAATTTCAAAAATGTGCTCCTTACCAAGAATATCAACCGTAAGAGTGTTTGCCGTTCGTGATAAGAATGAAAATCCAACGTTTTTTGCTGCTGCTACAAGGGCCGCCTCGTCAGGCGATTCTGCTTTGTAAACAATATTTTTAACAACCGTTCTATCGATTGGAATGGATTTTGTAGTACCATTAGGAAGAGGACTTAGAGCTGATTCAAGTTTTTTGAATGACGGTAATATTTGTTTAAGTGAACTTTTAAGTTTTTTTTTAGTAGGGTCAAGGTTTGAATGATTCTGATCTTCAATATTTTCATCCAAATTTGGATCACTAGTATCTTCAGGTGTGGCCTCATTATTTGAAGTTTTTCTTTTATTACTACTACCTGATCCTTGACTTTCAGAATCTGCTACAGAAGGGATTTCGTCCACTACAACAGTATGACATACTGCTAACAAGGTAAAAAATTCTCTCAACAAATTAGACCTTTTGCGCTTATGCTCTAATTTCCCACCGGAATTTGATTCTTCCCCGACGTCATCGCTCGTTTCATCATTTTCACCCCTTAAATCTTTATAGATTTCAGGATCAACAAATGTTAAAAAGTTCGGATCTGTGCTCGAATATTTAGGCTCAAATGTTTTTTTTAATTCATTTAAATATTGATTAAAAATTTCTTTTTGATCCAGATCTTGTTTCTCCACATTTTGTTCTCCTTGAATCAACTCTTTCCCTTTCTCAGCATCTGTTTTACCACCCCAACCATTTCTACCATAAACTTTATCATCAATTGAACATTGACGAAACTCCATGATGTTACGGGTCAATGTACCGGTTTTATCAGAAAATATATATTCAATTTGTCCCAGATCATCTGATAAATTCCACTGTTAAATTTGAGATCGAAGATAACATTATATTAAAATACGAAAATATTGGACAAGGAGGAAAAAACGAAATGTACACTTGCCGATTTTGGAACAGCGGCGGTCTGAGAATCATCATCCCACATTTGTAAGTCATTATAAATGAAATAAGCCTAATTCAAAAGAAATAAAGTAAATAAGCTAAACCTATGAAATCAGATTTACACATAAATTAAAGATTTACGTACTTGCCATAACTTAACAAACTCAATTGAAATATATAAAGAAATTGGAATGATGTTTTGAAATATAATCAAACTTGCCCTGTAAAATTGGTTATTAAAAAAAACTTTAGTAACGAAATAAATAATAATACATCTTCTTATGTATTAATAGGAAAAAAAAAAAAACTTTACTTAATTATGCAAAGTATAACCTACATAAAGGTAATGAATGCGGCTACAAAAACACCATCACGATTTGAATCCAGATTATTGACAGCAACATCACCGGCACGATTTTTTAATGCCTCTGTCGATAACGCGCTGCCAATTGCACAAATCAAACCAAGAATTATGAGAACGAAAAAATTAAGAATAACCTAGAAAAAAGAAACCATAAATATTTTCTTGAAGATTAACCAATTGGCTAATTAAATTAAAAAAATATATATATATATATTTTACCTCGCGATTCATTTCTTTTTCAATTCTACTACGTTTGCTTGGTGTTTCACTAGAATTGAGCATAATTTTAGTTTCAACACCAGTGAATACAGTTATAGCAATAACCCATTCTGTATTACGGATCACATGAGCTCTCAATAATAAATTGTTGATGTCAACAGGAATAGTCTTTCGCTGTTTCCATTTACGTTCTGAAAGAGCGATGCTACTTCTTGGTGAAGAAGGCCTTTCGGCTGATGTCGAAGTATGATCCTCATCTGGTTCAGTCATGACCAAAGTTGCACTATAAGAATATAAATTTGAATTTGGGGCTTCTGAATCAACGTAAAAATTGGCTTTGACACAATCTTCAGGGGAGCATATTTGACTTGTGTCAGGAACACACCGACGAGGTTTCAAGTTAGTTTCACCGTCAAGATCTTTTGTTTCCACAAAACAAGTTCCTTCAGGCTCAGATGTAGACAGAATAATGGAGTCAGCCGGTACAGCATCATTATTCCTAAGGAACAAAAAGTCTCCGACACGAACATTCCTCCACATGACTTTTCTGAATATAGGAGATCCATGTTTTTCATTCGAGGGTTCGGATGGAGGTGAATCATCATTATTAACAGAACTTAGATCTTCTATTATGCCCTGTGGAGGAGCATCATCTGTTGGACTTGTGGATGAACTGTTAAATAAGGATTTAATTCTAAGAATCATCCTTTTCCAAAACGGTACCTTTTGCTTTCTTGGATAATTAACGTTAACAAAATTTTGAAGATGATAGCATATCGCGCTATTAAATTGTTTGTCAATATGATGTCTATTTCGATCCTCAATGGCATCCTTAAGTCCAGTAAAGAAGACGACAGTTGACAGAGGAAGCAATGTCAAAATTGGATTGTTGACACTAATAATTGGTATCATACCAAGTATAGCCATGAACAAGAAATATAAATTTGCAGCTCTTCGAAATTGTTCAAATAAATTTTTAGGTAAGAAAGTCCACGTAGTATACTTGGAAGTGACAATTTTATTGGTAACATATCTAGCCTTTGGTCTACCCTTTCGGTCAAGGTCCTCTTTTGGTAAATCTATATTAGAATAAATTCTACGTACTTTACCGGTTGAGATACGATTTTTAATTTTAGTTTTACTTCTCTTAAGTCGCGTACTAGACGGCTTTCGACCAAAGTCTTCATTGGGAATATTTGCGTCAGTAGTATAATTGGAGCTATTGGAAATAGATCTCATATTCTCATTTTCATTTTCATTTGATTCGTTTTGTTCAACTTTCCCCCCAGGTTCTTCCGAAGAATCTTTTACAAGATTGGTTTCTACAAATTCATTTGTTGTAGCCGATGATATAACATTATCATTATCGTTTATAGCTTCATCCGTTTTCCTCGTTGGCTCACTTTTAGTAACCGATTCCAACTTTGATTCCACGATTTCAGTTACATTAGGCGTGGATACTTTGGTTTCAGTTGTCACAATAGGAGTGTACATCATATGTTCAGTTATAACGGGCGTAGTGGAAGTAGGTATTGTATTCTCCAAGTCCTCACTAGACATTATTGTATCAGTAATTGTAACTGTTTCGGTAATTATTGGCTCACTTTCGGAAACTACACTAGTCGTCTCTGGAACATTAACAGTTGAAGTCGTCGTTGTAACATCAGAAGTTTCCATAGGCACACTTTTCGTATTCGTAGACGCCATTGTAAAGAGAAAAGTCGGCTTTAAAAATTGATAGGAGAGATATGAAAACCCTCACTTTTTCGATTAATTTTTTTTTTTAAAAATTAGATAAATATAAATATTATACTTCTGTACTTAAGGATATGAGAAACCAAAAAAAAAAAATTGAAGATAATTCGAATTAAAATTAAAATCAAATATATTTGAAAATCCGTATGAATGCACCATACCAATACGCTAAGCAAAATAAAGTAGGATTGAATTTAAATAAAGAGGAAGGAAGTAAAAAAAAATATTCATAATTTTTTTTTTAAAAAACAAAAAAAAAAAAGAAGCTAAATTACCCGCAAAATTAATACGTTGATCATTGATATGAGAATCTTCTTCTTATGTCAATGATATTTATAGGCATTTTATAATACCTCCGATCACTAATTAATTGTTGACTGTCGTCATTATTTTCCCTATAATTAGCGACAATCATTTCTTTGTATAAATTTATCTAGATTCGAATTTTTTTTTTCTTTAATTTAATTTGAAACATCACTAAATGAGGTGCTTTAATAAAAACGCAATATCTACTTCATTTTCCCGAGTTGATTTTCAATTTCGTCCTCTGGAAATACCTTTGTTCCCACATGAATGGAAATCTTTATTGTAGAACGATATTTACTCTCCCCTGAATACATGAATGTACCAGACATCACATCAATCAATGGTATCACATCCCCCCATCAACGGTACGACAGTCTTGATCCCCATACATACTAAGAACATTATTACTATTATTGTTTGTTTATACGGATTTAAGTTTTTTTTTTTAAAAAAAAAAGAAAAAAGAAAACGGAATCTTGTTAAACAATTTAACAATTTCAATAAAGTCGACTAAATTGGAAATTAAAATCGATTTCGGCAGGTGAGAGTAGAATACAGTGCATTGAATTGATGCAAGTCATTTATTTTGATGCTTTAAAATAGATGTAGGTAAGGGATTTCTATATTTTCTATATTCACGTAGGTCATTAATAGCAAGAACTTTTTTTTTTTGTATTAGTATAACCTGAAAAAGTACATGTAATTAGCCGTTGAGACGTCGAGACGCATGAAAAGTTAATTTTCTATTCCCAAAAACTTCATGGTCAGCATATATTCAATTTCAAATAAGAAGCTCTCTGCGGTGTAACATCCGTAATAAATATAATAATTGTAATGATTTGTGTAAGAGAAATATGTAGAGTCACACGTGCCGTCGCAAATCCATACACTGCAGTCGACTAACTAATACATACAGCACATACAAATTCAAAATTGATTTTAAACCTAATTCATTTCGCTTATATTAAACATTCTTTATTAAAATATAATAAAGATGAGAGATGCTGTCCTAACTTCTTGAAGTAAGGATTGGCTAACTAACAATTAATTAAATTAGTCAACTTCTTTAACAAAAAGGCAAGGCAGGTACTTTTTAATATTACGTCATAATTTACATGATTTCTTCTCATCCTAAAATTACTAAATCCTTAAACAATGATGAGAGGATGTCACGCAAAAAAAAATGGCTTGCGCAAAATTTTTGTAAGTTTTAAAAGTTAAACGGTTCAATAGTTTTAAGAAGATCTCTTCAAACATGTCTATTATATGTCTATTTTAATATGTAAAAAGTATTATAAACAATTTTAATATGAGAAATATGTTGTACCAGCTTAAGGTTTTTAATTTTATTATTTTTTTTTTTTTT